GTATATATATATATATATATATATATATATGCATTACAATACAAAACAGAGAAAAAAAAATTCTTCAAAAGAACTCTGAACAATTTCTTTCGCCTCCACAATTAGCATCATGTATCAATATAAGAAGTCTGTATTTCTCAACCAATTCTTTAATGTGAGAAAAAGTAGATCTCCTTTATTTATCATAAATCACAGAATCCAACCTTTCTCCTTTGTATGTGGCAAGTGGGAGAAAAGGGTTTGAGACAACTTCTTGTTCATTCGCAAACTTCTCAATATCAGCATTGTTACACTGCAACTCCATGACTGAAGTACTCTGCCTAGCACTGCCTTCACCGGTTAAACTGAGAGCATCAAAGTCATCCTCGAATCCATGAGCTTTGAACCTAAAACAAAGAAACTACTAACATTGAGATAACAAATTGCTTTGTGAGACTAAGATTCTCAATGCTGTCATAATAGTGAGACACGACCAGTAAACATAGGACAGTTTTCTGATTTAAGGAAATAGAATTATGCTAGAATGTATTGTCCTAACTAATATATCAGTCTTTAACTTTGACTTTCCACTAAATAGATAATATGATGAGATAAGTAAGGATCAAAGGCATAGCACCAGAAGAAGAAGTTTGAAACAATGATTTTACAAAATGAATACCTGATAATCTTAGGATCTTGGCCTGGCAAGGGAAGATGTGCATCTCCAGGTCCAGTCGCATGACCTCCATCCTGCCAACTCTCCAAGTCAATAGGATGCCTGGGAGTCACTTATTCCTATCTATATAAAGCCACTAAAGAGCAGCCACATTTGCGAGAGAAGTAACCATGTAATGACTCGAAAGAATAAATAAATAAAAATAAAAAATAAAAGGAATACAATTTATCAACCTGGATTGTCCGTTTAAAAATTAAGGGAGATAGGAGGTCACCAGGAAGCGCCAGTTACTTCCTCTCTAGAAACCAAAAAATAAACAAACATCCTCACACTCTCCCTCTACAGACCCCCAAACCCCAATCTATCTCTCTCATCCATTATTTCTTTGGCATGTTTTGATATCAGTTTGTTCAGATGCCATTGTTTCAGCTACTAGCTTGGAGAAGGGATGAAGAGATGAGGTACAAGACCCACTGTGCTTTGGATTTTGAATGCCACACAGTAATAACCAAGAAAGAAAAGAGTTATAAAGAGAGAATAGAATTGAAAACCATGATCAATGAACTCGACATTGTCTAAATCCCCCTGTATTTTCATCTGCCCCATTTTCCTCAAGCCCAGACTTGACCCTATGACTCTATGTACCAGACATCTACAATCAAGCGAACATCGTCAAATGGTTTTTGGTGGGTCATCTCACTAGGCCAATCACCATATAACAGCTTTGAGATGCTTCCATTATGCCCAACAAAACACTTCACCATCTTTCTCAGAGATATTTGTGAAAGAAGAGATCAAAAGAATGTTCAGGGAAGAATACAGAAAAGGGCTGCTAAAAGCCCAGGACAGCCTCGGGCTTTCGGTCTGGGCCCAGTTTCTGCCATTTGGGCCTAATGTTAAGGCCAACATGCCCTAGGCCCAAAATATTTTAGGGCCAGGCCAGGTCAGGACCCAGCTTGTTTTTTCAGTCCGGACTCTGGACTTGTTATCATGCCATGAGTCCTGCTCGGCCCAAACTAAGCCTAGGCCTACCTTACACTGTTTTGGGCTGGGCTAGGCTAGGGACAGCCCAGCGAGAACCCAGCCCGTTAACAGCCCTAAATAAAGGACTTTTAGAAACCCTAAAAAAGGAAAAAGGCCAACCAAGGTTCTGGCATTAAAGAAGCTATAAAAGTGTTTCAGACTATTAGTTGGGGAGAAAAACAGTGGTTGACGAAAATGAGGTGTCTCTGATTGCCTCTCTCTTGGTTCCTGTCACGAGAATGCAGTTTGGCCTGAAGCCATTGCAATTCTGGTCAATCTCTTTCTAGATTCAGAGGAAAGTCTTATGCAACCTACAAAGGTCTCTTCAGGTGGATTTGCTCGATGAGGTGACATAAGAGACCAAGATCAATTTTACAAAGCTTTAGAGTTTATAATAAATGAAAAGGAATTTGTTACAGAGATAGGCTCTTGCCGTAGCTCATTAGCTGGCCTCCTTGTTTTGGTAAAGGATCGAAGGATCCTTAATGCAATAGTAGCTAGTTTCAATTTCCTAAGGATTTTGTGTACATTTAAGCAAGTTCTAACCGTAGTTGTGGGTATTCTTAGGCTTTGGCTTAGTAGTAGACATGTCGGTTTGCGTGAGGGAGGTCGAGAGTACTAATCTTTAAAACTTGTCCCAAAAGCCCAAACAAGCTAGACCATACCTTACTCTCTTTTTTTCACCCTGGTTGCAGGCAATGGCGCTACTTTCCAACTGCAACGCAGACAGTTTAGAGAACAAATGCAGGTTGGGGCGATAGAGATATATATATATATATATATATATATATATATATATATAGTAGTGAGAGACAGTACTAACGAAGTA